AGTGACAAAAGGACACCATGTTGATCCCAAATGTGTCCTTTGCCCCTTAATTCAGGGACAGCGGGTAAAGGGAGAAGTGACTCCAGTGGGGCATTTTGACTGCCATGAGATGCCCCTGAAAGGAAAGCAAGGGGAATTTGCACAGGAAAGAAAGAGCAAGATTTACCATTCTCATACAAGACAACCATGACAAAATATGAAAGCTCAAACTGGACTCTCCTCCAGCATCCTCTGCTGAAATATATGCTCTGGGTTGCCTGCAGGAGTAAACTCTGTACCTTTTTATACCAGTTAATGGAGTGATATGCCATCAGAGGTGGGAAGGAGGCACGATTTCAGGATAAAAAATTGGGTTGAGATATGTTATTACAGAATCATGGAATTGTTTGAGTTGGAAGGAGCCTGAAAAACCATCTGGTTCCAACCCTCTGCTGTGGGCAAGGACACTTCTACTAGATCAGGCTGGCCAGGGCCACATCCAACCCAGCCTTGAATGTCTCCAGGGTTGGGGCACCCACAGCTTCTCCAGGCAGCTGTGCCAGTGCCTCACCAATATTACTGTTTTCCTGTGGACTTCCTAATTAAGACCTGTTCCATTGCCAGCCTTGATTTGTTGTCGCATGTTGTCAATGGAAATACCCAATATTGAAGAAAATTCCTCTTTATTGAAGTTCATCTTACCTTGTGAGATGTCTTTGAGGCTCAGTTCATGTATGTCCAGTGTCTCTAGGCTTCCCCAGGCGAAGTGTAGGCAGATAGCAATGTGGCTGAGGCACCTGTGCAGCTGAGTCAGTGGAGCTTCCCCTCACCTAAGCACCCCATAATATCCCTATTTGTGGTGCATTGGGCCTTGTAATTGTGTGAAGCACAAAAAGCTTAAAGCTTCACAATCTTGATAGTGACAACATCCCCCAATCTTTCCTGTGTGCCCATGTGTGCCTGCTGCCAAGCTTTGAGCGCTGTCACTGATCTCACTGGGAACCTGCAATGTGTACAAAGGTAAATGTATCCTTCAGGGAATGTTCTGGACTTGGGCTTAAAAGATGACCTTTTTTAAAGAAAAATAATTATCTGGATTGGCATGAAGAAAGGCTGGTAAAAAAAACAAAATTAAAGATCTGATGTTTAAGCTTTGCCAAATGTTGCCTGTTGCTGAAAGAGTTTCTCATGAGAATATGGATCCTGTACTGACTTGAAATAATAAGTAGAAATATTTGCAGTCCCCCAGATTTGAAATGTAAAATACAATTGTTAAAGGAATTGAACTCTTTCTGTTTTCTTCAACTGTTGTTAGACGTGTAAGAAATGTGAGTATATTTTTAACAAATCCTGATTTGAGGTAGGAAAAAAACTGGCAGTACTTCAAGACTATCATCTTTTCTAAAGTCTACAAAAATGGCAAAATGAGCTTTGAGGGATCAATGTAATGCATAGATCAACCTGGGATCTCTAAAATACCAGAATTTTTTTTGTGCAGAGACTTCGAATTTTGCCATGAAAATCCAAAATACGCATTGAGTTGAGCTGCTGCTGTACCAGATAGTGGTTAACTTCATAGGTCAGACAAGGGAAGAATTTTGTGATTATATTTTCTGCTTTTGCAACAATTCTCATGTCCTTAAGGCCGTATATGTTGAGTTGAGAATAAGAGATTATAGATAAATGAATACTTAGAAACAGATTCAACCATAACATTTACATTTTTTCCCCTTATCTGATCTGAGGGTTTTGCAATTGCTGGATTAGTTAACCCTCTCTCATTTACAAACTCATTCTTGACAGAGCAACTAGAATGTTGATCCATTGTTTCTTAGCATCACATAATGGACTTGATTGAGCAAATCACTTTGAATTGGAGTTGTGACATCCCATTCAATATATGTTTCTTGATTTTTAGAAGAAATTTATTTCTGGGTACTTCTCTGAGAATGAACTGCTTCTGGTAATTTTAATGAGACTGATCAAAGGATTACAATGTAGAGGATCTTGGTTCTTTGCTAGGTGGGTGCTTGTTGCACCACTGGAATCTTGTTCTCTCTGGCACATCCTTCCACATACCTTAGAGGGGCTCTTTTGGTTAGTTACTAGTATGAGGTCAGCCTGGGATTTTAATAAGATGAATGGAGTCATTTCTTTTCCTCCACTGAATAATATTTTGAGTCAGTTAATATTTATACTTTATTTCAGCCCAGATTTTCATTCCTATGCATTTTAGTCAAACAAGAACAGCAACAGCAGGAATAACTGAAACTGAATTTAAAATTGCAGTGATTGAAGTGGATGGCTGCAGTGTAATTCAGCTTATCTACCTTTAATCATTTACACACATCTATTTTCCCTGAGGCTGCCTTTATAGCCAGTGGGAAGAACTGTACCCTGTACATTCCTATTTCACTTCACTGACTTGAAATGGCAATCTAGGAGACTATCCCATGTGCGTATGCCTGTATTTGATCAGATAAATAATTTTTATTTAGACAATGGATGCATTTCCTGTCGGGCTGGTTGACTACTGAATACTATAAAAGCAATTGACCTGTGAGATATTTTTCAATCAACAGTTTGACTTCTTTACACTTTTGATTAAGTTGTTGTCTGTGTTTAAGGGGTTGGTAAAGAAAATAAATCAGTTGTTTGTAAAGCACTTTTTCTCAGGCAGTGAGTGATAAGCTATCTTACCTCATTTTCTATTAGGACAGTGTAGATCCTTCTACATCTGTTTGCCTTATATTTTGCCTTTTGTGATGTATGCTGTTTTTTTGGAAGCAGAAGGTAAATGGGCAGCACTTTCTGAAGCCTCTTTTAGATGTCTCTTTAGGCTAGTCTTTAAAATCCGTTGGTTCTACAGGTTACAGCTCTTCATGGAGTAGCAAAATCTGCAAGACAAAAGAGTGAAGCATGGCTGCTTCCAGTGACTGAAAGCTGCCTTGTGGCTGTAGGAGGGTGTATCCAATTTGCTTGAGCAAGTTCTTCATGAAATTCCATTCTGAGATCTGTAATTCTTATCTAATAAAATGCTGTCATAAAGATCACTTTTGAATGCCTCCCACAGGCTGGAGATGAGGTTTTGAAACAGAAGTCTATTTACATTAAAAATATGTGTACTGTAGTAGACCAAGAATAATAAGGCTTTATGTAATTTTTGAGTTTTACGGTGTTTTCCTTTACATTAAGTAATAGATTACTCCTAAAATAAGTAATAATATATTCTCAAAAATATAGTTGTATGAGGTTAGCTGGTTTGTCATTCAGCCCAGGTTGGAAATCAGCCTCATGGAGGTAGCCAGGACAGAATCTTGAGCTGCTTGACCCCATCTGGGATTGTTTGGTGATGTTTAAACTTTGGCTGCTCACTCCTTATGATGGATTTCACTGCAATGCTTTTGAAGGAAGGGGGAGGAAAAGAGCCCAACATTCAGTGTGAACTCTCATCTTTTTGGCCTTAGTGGAGCTTTTTGGAGACTACTTTGCTGGCATATTCTCTTTTAGGAACTGCTGGGTGGAGACTGCAAAGACTGAAAGTTTGTGTGGGATCACATGATAGATGTGGGGTTTTCCTTCTTCAGGTGATGAGGCAGAGGTGTCAGAAGAAAGAATGGTGGAGGCTCCCCATCAAGTCTTTTAGTCCCCATTGATCCTGTATGTGCATTGATATTAAATGTCGTCCTGTGGATGGCAGTTTTCATAACACCAGCTTTGTATTCCTAAGTTTATCTGCACTCTTGGGTAGGTTTGGAGCTGAATGGGAATGCTATTCAATGTTTAGGGGGAGCCAACTCATCTTTTAGTTTTTCAGCTGGAGAAAATGCAATTAGCTACTTAATCTGTTCTCCACTGAGTTGTACTACCACACTCGTTTACTACCACTTGCAATGTATAACTACACAGACATGTTCAATTGTACTATTACTTTTACAAGCAAATACTTCAGGAACTGATCTATTGCCCATTTTATAAAATGGTAAATGAACAACAGAATGATGTTTTAACATAATTCAAAATGCAAGGAGAGAGGAAATAAAATCCTTTCTTGTGTGTGTAGGAGAAATGAAATCGTTCCCTTGTAAGTATGACCATCCTTTCAGCTCAGTACTTAGTGAGAGTGACACTACACTTAAGCTGGTTCTTTTGGCTTACTTCTATGGGAAATTCCTTTGTGGAGAATGAGAAGCTCTCGACCTTGCAGCCAGTAGCTACCTTTTATAATTACTAAGAACCGTAAAAAGAGAAACATTTGTTAGATGAGAGATCCTAGACATAATGGGAATCATAGCTATGTAATAAGATTGTCTGCTGGACTGCGTCCTTTTCTCTTTTTCATGTTCTGGAATACTCTATAGGGATGAAAATAGGCACCTTTCTCAGAGAAGTGGTGGGAGAGGCCTTCAGTAAAAAATGTGCAATGCTAGTGAACATTCTAGAAGTGGGAAAAAGTTGCTAAAAGGCCATGATCAAAACTTACCAAAGTAGCAAGTGCTTTTGGGAGCATATGTGGCAATGGTGAGGAGGACTGAGGTACAGTGTTGATAATGACAGTCCTAAAATACCAACCTGTGCAGCCATGTGGCAGCAGTCAGAAAGCTGAAACCTTAAATGCATTTTTTTTAGATTGTTTAAGACTGTAAGTATGTGAACATGTGTTTAAATGTGTGTTCTAAAATTCTGATAAGCGATAGCCAAACTCCAGGGTCTTACAAATAGGTTCCCATTAGGATGAATAATTAATAATCATATTTATTTCAATTATAATGCCTTTTTTTTTTCTAATATTGAAACAGGGGTCATCCCAAACATTATGCTGGCAGCAATTAATGTTAATTGGCCTATAAGCACAGAAAATAAACCAGAGAGCTCTCACAGCAGCCCACTGTCAGAAACTATCAATATAATATTTACTGGAGGGCTGAGAACACATTAAAACTGAGGAAAGGCAGTGTGAAATTACATGCACTGACACTCGTGTTTCGGACAGTCTTGAAAGTGACCTTGTGTTCCTCCAGCATGCCAGGCAATGGGGACAGGAATGATGCTGAGCTCCTGGGCCACCTCCTCCATTGAAGAAGTTGCTGAAGCAGCTCCTGGAGGCCTCCGCTGGCTGCAGCTTTATGTGTACAAGGACCGAGAGGTTACCAAATCACTAGTGAAGCGTGCAGAGAGAGCAGGTTACAAAGGAATCTTTGTGACTGTGGACACACCGTTCCTCGGAAGGCGTATTGATGATGTGCGCAACAAGTTCCAGCTTCCCCCCCACCTCAGGTAGGTGCCTCCAGTTGGGGTGTGGGGTGAGCGTGCTGCAGTGCAACCTGTCTTCCGGATGACACACACTGAGCTCATGTACTTTGCAGTGGCTTAGGGGCAGAAGTATGCTATCTTGGTATTTTCATACAATGTAAAAGGTGGATGTCAGGTTGCATGAGGCTGCAGACTGACAAAGTCAGTGACGAGGCATTTCTTTGTATGTCTGGTAATTAATCTTTGGACACCTTCAAAACTCAACTGGGCACAATCCTCTGGAATCTACTCTGGCTTTGAAGCTGGATCCAGCTGCAGGGTTGACCATGCTCTGACCAGGAAGCTGGACTAAGTGACCGTCAAAGACCTCTCCCAATCAATGACACTGCAGGGCATGTGGGACCATGTCAGTACTGAATGTGGAATCCCTTTCCAAGCAACTTCAGCTGTCCTTTTAGCCAAGTACAGAAATGGAGGGGATCAGCTTTCTGAAATATCACAAAAGCGATCCACCCCTACATCTCCTTTGGGACTTTTTCTATATCTCAAGGAAAAGTTAGAGGTCTCTGTACTAATTCTAGTTTCTTATTATTTCAGGGCCTATGCAGCATTTAGCTTAAAACAGTTCTCCAGCGATGTCCTATGGGTGCTGATGCTGGCCTGATTTCACTGCATCCTGCAAATATGAATTGATAGACTGTAAGATCACCCTTAATAATGTTTGCTGAAGTGCTGGCACGCTGTTAGCACCCAGTCCAGCTGGAAAAGTAAAAGAATGAATGGGATATGCAGGATTTTTGAACTTGCAAAATGGAGCTAAGAATCTTGTGCTTACAAGGACCTGATATTGGCCACAGTTGGTCATGGTATATATTAAGACTACTGCCCTTATTCAGAATCTGTAAATGAAATCAAAATGAAAATTAAAAAAGGAAAGAAAAAATAAAAGATAGTTGAAAGTATCTTGAAGGGGATTAACTTTGGTTTGAGTTCTAGGTGAGAGCTAGTTTTGAATAGTATTGATGAATCTGAAGTGTTCTTCCAGTGTCTCTCACAACTGTAATGTGCTGCATACATACCATACCTAGCAAGAAATATAGCAAGAAATACAAAATATATTTTTAAAAATGTAGCAAGAAATATAAAGCCAGATTCTAAGTTCCTTCATTTTCATAATTTTCATTTGAAAGGTAAACCATGAGACTGTACCGCCATGGGGTGTCAGGTACACTGCCCCATATGCCAGTACTTGAAGCTAGTGGATGAAATGGTAAAGACAGGCTTAGTTAAGGGTGTTCTGTCAATGATTTCTGCATAAAAGGGCCATCTTGTGAGGAAAGTATCAGAATACAAAGAATCCTTGACAAACCTGGCATTAAAAAGTAATGCACTGGTATGCATACGCCCCATTTATTAGTCCTGCTATAGATCTGTTACTAACAAAGCATTATTGATTGTCTTTACTCCCAAGGAGAGTTGCTTTAAATAGCTTTTTTTTTTTTTAGGAGCAGTGTCATTTTAAGACCTGGGGTTATACAGATTCTGGATGAGAGTCAAATAACGCAAAAATATTTGAGAAAAGCAATAGTGCATTTCTGAAACACTTTGACCCCACTTGACCTAACGGTAACAAGGTTTTGTTTGAGTGAACCACATGGAATAATATGAAGTTGGAGTAATCTTTTAAGGTTCAAATTCCTTCGGATTTCAGAATGACACTCAGTGTTTTGTTGCGGAGTCAGTGGCGAAACTCGGCAGTGTGGGGCTCTGCTCAGTTACTTGATAACTTTTTCTTGGCTTCAGATTTTCAACAAAGTTTCAAAGCAACAACAAGGTGCCATTGTGCTCCAAAACGTATGTAAGGCAACATTCATTCAAGTGTTGACCTGCATTTCACAGTCCAAGAAAAACAACGGTTATTTATATAATCTTATCCATGGTTCTGTTTTTCTCTGGGTACCCCACCCTCCACAAACCAACAGCTGAAAAGCTGGATCTTGCTGAGAGCCTGCTCCTTTCTCATTTTCTTCTTTGCTTGGAGCTGAACAGAAAACCCAAGTGAAATGTTGCTTGTTATAGGCATGAAATCAGCAGTGAAACTAGCCAGTTTCCGTGCAAAAATACTGCGTGTTCCCAAGATGTGGAATATGAGTATAAAATAGCACAACGTGAATTGACGCGCAATTTCCGAAGTATGGAGCAATCAACGTGGTGTGGGACATTGGAGTCCTGCGTTGTACTGGTGTCACCGATGGTGATCTGGTGCTTGAGAGCACTTGGGCTGCTTCAGTTTCTAATATAACTGCAGCCTCAATTTCTCTGTATGCCCTCATTTTCCCCCTCCCCTGTTTTGTCTACTAAGATTGAACTCTGGTTCAGGGGCTGGTGTTTGCCATTCAGTTCCTAGAACTTGTGAGGTTGATATGATTATAATAAATAATAGCAAGTGTTTTCATACAAACATTTTCCTCTACATTCTGTAGGCAAGTGTACAAAAAAGATGAATTGTATACAAGAACTATTGCCTGGATGTTGGTCTTGTCAGTTAGATGAAAATTCTGGTTTCTTTGCAAGAGTTCATGCAGACCCATCTAATTAATAGGGTTTTTAAAAATTTCCCTCTTTTCCTCTCCCATCTAGGTAGTCTTCTATTTACTCCAGTAGCTGAATTCACTAGATGAAAAACAAAAGCAAAGAAAATACTTGCTGCAAGAAAGCCAAGGAGATTTTTGCTACAGATAGTGGAAAGTAGAAGTGCACCTTTTGACTTAAATGGGAAGTGAATTATGTTATGAAAGACTGATATTCCCTCAGCACACACATCCTCTGCTCCTCAAGGGTCTGAATGGCCCACAGCCTCTGCTGTGTTTATCCTCACAGTGCTCCAGAAAATGTGGTTGCTCCTATTTTATGATGGGAAACAGGCAAAAGGAGTGACCAAATGTTCTGCCCAAAGTCATAGAGGATGTCTGTGGCAGGATGAATGGTTGAACCCAAACCCTAAGTTTCATCTTTGGATTTTTCCTTTTGGTTGTAGATTTGATGCTAAACCTTTAGATTTTGGACTTCGTCTTATTTCCTTTGAAAGCATTAGGAGGTTTGCCTTGGGCCAGAGAAATTTGCAGCAAAGTTATCAAATATTTCTCAAGGAGGAGGTTTTGACTTAAAAGGATTTAGAAATAAAATACTGGGTAGGCTTTTTTTCTTCTGCCCTGTATAATACAATGCACATTTAATGCAGACGTGTTGAATGCTGACGCTAAGGACTGATATTTTATGGCTCCAATAAATATTTCACAGACTATTTTATATGCTTTTTGTCATTTTAGGTTAAAAAATTTTTCAAGCAACAACTTGGCCTTCTCCTCAGGGCAAGACTTCGGGGAAAACAGTGGACTGGCTGTCTATGTGGCCAACGCAATTGATGCAAGTATCAGTTGGAAGGACATCAAATGGCTTCGTGGGCTGACATCACTGCCCATTGTTGCAAAAGGAATCTTAAGAGGTGTGTAGCTCTGCAGCTTTCCATGGAGAGGGCAAGGCATCCCTTTTTGCAGAGGCAATAGGGAAAAAAATTGCTTGTGCTGCTGAATTTTCTGTAGAATTGCACTACATTTCAATGGCAAGCATCTGTTTTGCTTACATTAAATATGATGGGTTGTACATTCATATTTGTATACTGTGCTAAGCAGGGAAGATTTGCAAAAGTAGATTGCAAAACAAAAGAAAAAGTTGTTTTCCTTGTGCATGATTAGGATGTGGAAGATCGCAGACATGACCAAATGTCCATTTGGTTTGGTTAGGTTCAATGCAATGTAAACTGGTGAGGGTGATTATTGTGCTGCCTCTGTGCATGAGCTTCTCCTTGAGGAAGGCAGTCTGAATCAGACAAGCTTTTCTTTCAGCAGAAACTGAACATTATTATTTTCCTATCTGGGGAAAAACTGAAGAATGGGATTTAGCATTTTGGCAATCAGAGATATGGGTCAAGGTTTGTGGCTTATAAAGCCTGGATGTACTTTTTACTGGCTTTGATGGAACTGCGGAGAATGTGCAGGAATGCACATGAGCCAAATAGCCAAGAAAGTGAAGACACTGCTTTAATAAATACCTGGAGTTTTCAGGTGGTTTGTATGGCTGGGTTATGGAAGTGTTTACCTTGAAGTTCAGTAGGCAGGGATTGGAGTCCTGTAGTCTGCCGTGGTGCCACTTTGCCATGCTGTGGTGTTTTCTGGGCTAAGCAGCAGTTGGTGTCCCTATTTCCTTGTCCTGTGCTGTGAGTTCTTCCTTAGCCATAGTCTTATCTGGGAGATCTATGAAAAAGGACCATTTCACTTTGCTGCTGTCTATCTGTGAAAAGGCAAGTGTTTGAAGAGAAAAACAGCAGGAGTGTTGGGCCCTTAGATTCTGCATAAATGAAAAAAATATTAACACAAAAGCAAAACTCAAACAAAAAAACCTAAGAACAACAAAAAAGCAGCCCAAAAAAACAACAACCTAATCAACACTTTAAATTTTCAGGTTGAGATGTTGGTGTAACAGCAGTTATATCTTAAGTTCAGATGCAGTCAGGAAGGACAGCTCATTGTGCTTGTAAACCCTAACTCTATTCTGAGTTGTGTGCTACTTGAAGGAAAGCTGGATTTCCATTCTGTTAAATGAACACAGACACAGCAAAGTGCTTTCATTAGCTGTGGTTTATTACCACGGTCTTATTGTTAACTGGCATTGAGGGGAAAAAAATCAGCAAAAGAATTTAGTGAAGTGTTGCAGGATAGAAGGGGGAGGGGGGAGGAAAGGCCAGACATGCAAGTTGTTGGTCCAAAGTGATAAAATGTTCTGTTCCAACATTTCAAGTAACCTTCCTAGCCTTAGTACTTCAAGATAGAACTGCTGATCTGTGTTGAGATGAGTCTATGGAAGGATGAAGCCCTAAGTGGCTTCCCAGCAGCTTCCAGTGTTTTTTTTTGTTGGTTTTTTTTTTTTACTGATGTCATAATTTCCCTCATCATGATGTTCACGATCCCAATTCTGGAAAGAATTTTTTTAAAATATATTTTCAGCTGATGATGCCAAAGAAGCTGTAAAGCTTGGGGTAGATGGTATACTGGTGTCAAATCATGGAGCACGTCAGCTTGATGGAGTTCCTGCAACGGTAAGTAGTGGTGCCAATCAGTACTGAGTTCTTTCTGCCTTTGGCTTCTTGCTTCCTTCCACTGAATACGTGGTAGCTAGAGAGAAAACCTGTAAATACATGTTGTGTGCCTTAATCTATGAGAAGTCATCTCTTACTACAGTTGTTTTCACTTCTAATACTCTCCAGAGACTTCTGAAAATTTTGAGTTACAGAATAACTAAAAGGCAGAAGGAAATTCTCCCTTTTTCTCCTTTCAAATCTTTCCAGTTTTGGAAAAGGTTCAGGGTGATTAAACTAGAATTTTTTCCTTTTCCTTGTCATGCTGCCCTGTGCCATTCCAAAGGTAAAAAGGGATTTGAGAAGTTCTCAACTGGTGGGGGGGGGAAAAAAAAAGAAGGAAAGGAATATGAAAAAGTATGTGTTCAGACTGAAGTAAAACCCCCCAGACTTGAGTCATCACTCAACCTTCTTCATTTGGAATGATAAAACTGCACAAGTAAAAAGAGTGAAAGGGAAGAGAATCAAAACCTGGTCATGACTGTTTCAATATCCTTAATGCACTGTTGTTGAAAAACCTCTGGTTCACCATGAGAATCTTCTGGACAGAGAAGGAGACAGGTAAGCCCTTTCCCACTGCAGGATGTTTTGCATGCAAAGATTTAACGACTCAGCTCAGTCTGCAGTCAGCTTGGCAGGCCCACTGTGTGTCACCCCTTCCTGTAGAGCTCTTCTGCTCTGAGTCTTTCCCTGGGGACAACTGAGGGTTTCCCCAGTCAATTCCATTCATTTGCTGATTTTTTTTGAAAGTCCTCAAGTGGACCCAGTGGTTCTTTTTATGGAGTGTGGGTGCCAAAACTTCTGAAATCAATTTTCTTCAACTTCTGTCCTCTTCTTGTCCTCTGCAGAGAATGTATGCTTCAGTTTCACTGAGAGTATTGGAAAATCTTGTGCAAGTCTGTGTGAGGTAACCCAGCAGGAAAAATATGAGGATATTAAAAACAAAAACAAAAAAACATTTTGAAAAATGAGAACTCAAAAACTAGGAATTATTATTTTCTACTGAATTAGAACTGAAATTAAGCTTGTGAACTACTTTTTTGAGTTTCTTCTTTACAGTGTCACTGTGTAGAGAAGATGACACTATCAAAGCCAGCGTGTTCACTGAATTTCATCTTACAGAGAAGTGTATTTCAAAATGCAGTTTCTGTGAGAATATCTGTATTGAATCATGCAAAGAGTTTCTGTTTTTGAAGCATAATTTCATGGCTTTTTAGAGCATGAGCTGGTTAATATTTCTAGTGTCTAGTTACACATTGAGGAAATCTATGTTTTAATTATGGTTTGCATCATACTTCAGTTATTATAGCACTTTGATGTTGATACAGTTCGTCAGGATGTAGAAAGTAGTCTCTGTATATGGAAATAAATCCAAAATATGTTTGGCAAGAGAGCAAAACCAGAGGGAGGGGGAAAAATCACAGCCAGTGCCAAACTTCAAGAAAATTTTAATCCAAATCTAAAAACAAACTGCGCTTTCAAGTTTTTTCCCCAATCTCCTAGTCACTTTTTATCCATTAGAAAGGAAATGAATTGCATCCGTGTTTGAAAGACACGAATTGGTGTGCCTTTTGTTTTACTACTGCACACTCCTTAGTACTTGGCTTCTAGTCTTGTGTCTTTCCTAATATTCATGAATAGGAACTGTATGCATGTTGTAGGAACAGCTGCTATGTAATTAATGCTTGAGCTTTGAATTCAGGAGGCTCATCTCTTCTTGAAACTTCTTGCACGTTGTTGACATTTTAGCTAATTCCCTAGTTACCTTCCTGTATGTTGGGAACATCCATTTGTCTTTGCTTTTACCACTTGTGCAGGGAGTAAGTGGAAATCACTGAGAGAAGTATGTGTTCTCTCCTTGTTCAAAACTCAGAGCAAGTTGAGTTTTTCTTAGATAAATAAGTTCCCTGTACAACTATTCCCAAGATCCAGATGTGTTTTCAAATGAAAAAAATACTTTCTTTTATTTTCCTGACAGATCTCTTAGTCATTATCTTCAGACTCAATGCCTACCTTTGTGTTACTTAATGCCAACCAGTCCTTTTTATTAATGAATTAGTGAATTTAAGCAAGAAAATGAAGATGGCTGTTTAAGAAGTCAGTGATTGAGTTTCATTCCTAAACTACTGAACATTGAATGTTAGGGGAATAATATCAAGGAATAGGGTCTCCTCCGTGCCTGCTGTTTCTTATATTCTTCCTAATAGCTTGTACAGGCTTGTGTTGGATGCACAATTAGATGAGACTAGATGGACATTTTATGTGACCCTGCTGATTCTCATTTTATTTAAGTGGCTGTCCAAATAAATTTGACCTGTGTATATATCTGCTAACATGCCAAGTTACACAAAGCTGTATTTATGCACACAATCAGGCAAGTAATTGTTTACTTAGCTTTTTTGAAGCTCGAATCCTGTACATAATAATTTATTCAGAAAATAAATAGGGTTACAGAAGCTGTATTTCTGATTTCACTCTTCTAGATTGATATCTTGCCTGAAATTGTTGAGGCTGTGGAGGGGAAGGTGGAGGTGTTCCTAGATGGTGGCGTAAGAAAAGGCACAGACATACTCAAAGCATTAGCTCTGGGCGCCAAAGCTGTATTCATCGGCAGGCCTCTCATCTGGGGCTTGGTTTATCAAGTAAGTAAAAGAAAAAAATCTGAAAAATATGTTCTTAGATGCCTATACTAGTTTTTTACACTTTGTATATTCACATGTACGCGTGAGACAGTGAATCTCTTACATGTGTGTGTATCTAGATCATATAATAATCTAAAATTTGCTATCAAATACTTAGGAGTCAGAGTTGTCCATGAAACTTTCCTTATATGTATTTATAGCTTGTCTATAGATACAAGTACACATAAGAATGCGCATTGCATCCTCATTGCTTAGGGTGAAGAAGGAGCAAAAGACGTTCTCCAGATGCTGAAGGAAGAGTTTCGACTGGCAATGGCATTGACAGGTGAGACATCAGTGTTTCCTCTTAGTAATAACCACCTCTGCCTCACATTTTGTCATAGCTTCATTCACCCTATGTAAGGCACCATAGTAACCTGTAGAAGGGAGACAGAAATATTTGCCATATAAACAGGTTAAGCTGCAGAGAGATGAAAAAAGAAACTGATGTTAACCCCAACTTTATATATAGGATATCTATATATGTAGACAGAAAGAGTAAGTAAAAAATGAAAAAGTATTTTGGGTAAGAAGAGCCATAGATCTATAGAAAAGTGATGGCAAATCCTCAGTCACTAAGGGATGGATTATATCTGACTGAACATAACTTTCTATGGAAAAGAAAATGAAGCAGATTAGCATGGGATAGGCAATTGGAAATTTCAACTGATATTTGTTGGATTGAAGGTGGTGTGATACTGGAACACACCAGTGGTTGCTCAGAGATGTGGTGGAAGCTCCATCCCTGGTAGTATTTTAGGCCTGGCCGGATGGTGCTCTGAGCAACCGATGGTGCTGTGCAAGTCCCTGTTTGTTGCAAGGCAGTTGGTATAGAAGATGTGTAAAGATGCCTTCCAACTCTAAAAATTCTATGATTCTTTGTAACTTATTCTCTAGGTTGCCGGACTGTAAAAGAGATTGGCAGGACACTGATACGAAGACATGAAGTACTACTTTCCAAGATTTAGATCTGAAGATGATCCCCTTGCCTGTTGTACAGAAAGCACGCTAGATAAAAAGCAATGATATTTGCTCTTTGGGTCTCATGCTGCAATCCTGACTCAGAAGGAGTCTTCTGTAAGCAACCGCTTGTTGAGAAGTTACTTGCTTCAAGTTTTACAGCCTATTCTGCTAGGCACTTATGGAAAGCTGCTGTGCTGTTAGTTGAGATTAGAGATGAATCTTTATACAAGTCAGAGAAACTTGAAGGTTTCCTGCAATAAATGCTGATATTAGCTTACAAGCCTTTTTAGTGCTAAAATGAAACCATAAAAGAAAATGTTATGCAAACAGTTATCAAAATGTAGAAATTTAAAATGTAAAACGTACTTTTCTCACTGGTTAGACAAACTGCACTGTAGATCAGAAATTAAATCTTGCTTTCTTATGAATATAATTTCTTCTCCCTAATAATGATATACTATTCCTTAATAAGTATGTGGACTTATATCATGTAGGCTGTAGAAAATCAGAGTTCTTAGTTGTAAAGAACAGCAAAGTAAAATTGGAGAAGTGACTCAAAGCCCTTTGCAGTCAGACAACCACTGTGCTTGTGAATCAGACACACATCAGATCTTTGGCTTGTGCAAATCCTGGTAGTTCTATTGCCTTCACCAAACCGTGCTGACTATACCCAGCTGGATCCCTGAGTCATGTTTTTAAACTGGACTCATTTGTTTACAGTTTTTAGGTTATCGGATAAATCTGTAGCATCTTGCATCAGTATTGCAGAAAGGTTTTGAAAATCTTGTTCTGGAATTTTTTTTAAAGCCACCATTACACTGTTCCACTGTCACTGATATCACTGTCCGTACCATTTGTTTGCCATTAGTGTCAGGAGAACTTGTGCATTCTGATTCTCCCTTTTTGCTTTATTTGAAATATCCTGTACCGAGTTTTAGTGGCAGTTTTGTCATAAATGATGGAATAGTACAATATGAACTAAAGCAGGGGCTGGAACTCAAAACGGGGAGAAAACCCAAAAGGCCACATGCTTGCCCTTCAGTTGTAAAATTTGTTCTCTTATTTACTGCAGATTGTAGTGTGTTGTGTAGGGGTTGCATAGCAACAAAATAAAGTTTATCTCTGTAAGGAAATATGAATGTTTCTCAGAGCATAGAGAAGCATAATTTCTGCTGTTTACTGCACTTATCATATCTGTTGCAATGTGGACTGTGTCAGATGTCAATTACAGACTAACTTCAGAAAGACTGTTTATTTTAGATAATATAAATGTTACTTAAAAGATAGGGGATAATATCTTATGTTTACATGTTTAAGATCCATTTCTAAAGTTTAGAAGATGCAGTTTCCTGTCTTAGCCCCAACCAAATTCAAGGAAAGTTCTGTAACTCTGTGGTCCAGGGTAAATTCTGCTGGTGAGGAAACTGATTCTATTATGTGTGCAAAATTAACTATTTCTAGTTCCTTTGGGCAAATGGGCTTATATTTGTTCTTTCCTGCTGTCTTCTTTTTCAATCCTAGTAAGAATATACATGCATTAAAAAACAAAAACGGAGTCAAGTACTGAAAGGCTGTGAGACAAAGTTGACAGAAGTGAAATCAGTTTCTGTTTAAAAGAAAAAGTATATATATTTCAGTCAAGGGAATTTTACCAAATTTGGAGACAACCAAATACAATTGCTTCTTGAAATGTTAATGAAACTATTTTGTGTGTTTTAATTATTTATGTCATAGAACTGGGGGAAGATCAATGAGACTCAGCCATTCAGAACAATGCTCAATCTAAGTAAAACTTTAGCTCATGGTACCTTCACATAGAGCTGAGAAGGAAGCACCCCATGCATAATATGGTGGTGGTGGATCTTTCTGGAGGTTGAGAATGTTTTTGAGGATAACTTATGCAATATAACTAAAGAAAATAATAAGTCTATAGGAGGCATAGAAGTAGAACAGAACAGTTTGTATATTTTGCATTTATGATGCTCTAGTATGTCTGCCTATCTCTGTGTCAAATAACTAACACACCATCTTGTTTAACTGTAAAATTATTTTCTGACTTTACCTTTTCCCTAAGCCATAGATACCAAAAGAAAATATCTTCACAGAAAACTATGGAGTAAGGGAAGTACATTGAGTCATATTTATCTACCCAGAAAGCCAGCAGTCAACTGATGTGCTGGGTGACTGAAAAAAATCAACCCACCTGATAGGCTGGTAACTGAACAGGATCTGAATGGGGTTTTCTAACCACTTTTCAAGTAGACCAGGAATATTCTGTGGAAAAAAGAGGATTACAACACTTAGTGGATTTCTCCACTATTCTGTGAAGAGAGAAGATCCAAAAGCAACACCTGAGAGTGTACAAGATGAGGATCCTGGACTTTTGAGGAGAAAGTGGTATCTCACAAGAGCCAAAGATGTGAGGCAGGTTTTTATTTTTATTTTTTTATTTTTATTTATTTTTATTTTTTATTTCTGTATTCAGCCTGTCTGGATTTCTCTGCTGCTGTCAATTTGAAAGATTGTCTGAAAATGTCACTGTAAAGTTATCTTCTTGGCCTCTGTAAGCCCATAGAGGATTAAACCCACTAAAGAGCACAGCTCTCTAGCAAGGCTGTGTAGATACAAGTGTGAAGCAGAGAGGCTTCAGCTGTGGTGTGGACACCAGAGACCCATTCCTAGCAACACGCACTGTCAAAGACAGTCTGTGTCAAAGTGGCAGGGTCAGTGAAAGAGCCTATGACACTGTCTGAACATCTGGTAGAGTGTAGCAAAGCCAGACATGCAAGGAGCAGGGCCTTCCTAAGAGGGGAAAAAAACCCAACATGCTTCTGCAGAAGATCTTGAGTTGCAACAAACAGGTAGGTGTGTATCTGGCAGAAAGATTTGGTTGTATCGGGAACGTATTTGCTGTGAGAGATGGGCAGTTACGTACAGCAGAGGAGAGTGCTGAAGCATAAAAAGTACAGGACTGAGGCAGATGGCAGAAGTCAACTGAGGATTGTGAGACCATCTCACCTTTCAGATCTAAAGTGTAGCTTTGGGATAGGTCTTACATCCTCGCTTAGCTTCTCAGTTCTTTGAAGTAGAGACCTGCTGCTTTTTGAATGTTTAGAGCCTGTGCGTAGGGTGGGGAATCCACTAAGTAAATAACAGGAGTCATAATTCAGTTCTTTTGAGCTGAAGAGCTGTGAAAGACACGATCTGTTTTCTTGTGACCTCCGCCTCTTGCTGTAACTCTGGGACACAGTATTGTATTTTTCTTTTTACCCATGGCCAAGTCAAACAAATAGCTCTGGGACTGGTAAGAACTCCACCTCCATCCCCGATTTTTCAGGTGAAGGATGAAACTTGTCTGTCTTACTGAGAATTTCTGAACATAAATAAACAGATACTTAGAGTAACTTGGTTTGATAAACGGGCAGTGTGGGTCAGGGCCTGTTGGATATGCAGGCGACACAAAGATGAAGCAGAACTGGGGAAGTAGGTAGGAATGGCTCTGCTTTTCTTGGCTTCTCAAATGATTTTCAGGCTGAAATCAAACACTGAGAGCACGAGGAAAGCTGGCTTCTTAAGTCATGATTTTGCACTGAACCTCACTGTAAGGATATCTCTTATAAAGCTACTTTTGATGTGGAAATTTGGCTCCAAACCACACTGAAGACCATTATAAATAACCACTTCATCACAGGACACACAGAAGTTGGCTTCCTTGAACACTCCTAGAAAGCAAGTCTAATGTTATTGAGCCATAACCTCAGCTAGTGTAAATCAGAGAAGCTCTATTGACTTCATTAGCTCACACTGATTTACACCAGCTGTGACTGTGGCCTCACAATATAGGAAGATATGTCAGCTTTTAAATTCTATCACAGAGTGTTGAAGAAAGCTGTTTTTAAAACAAGACTGCCAATCCCAAATTTGGATACTAACGAGACACAGTACTGTAATTGTTTCATGATGCCTATATGCTCCATTTTGTTTTAATTTTGCCTTGCTTCTGTTTTTCTTATCTCTTGCCAAACAGAGGGAGAGTACCACATATGTTACATTCATAAGAAAGATGTTTTGCTGCTTTGAGAACATGTCCTCCAGATGCAAAATGCTTTTTTGCTGTCATTCAGCTTCTTCCTTTGGATAGGTATGTTGATTATGTGTCAATATTAGACTGCCCTGGAGAGTCAGCCTCATGCTTCTTCAAGGCCCTGGAGTTCTTGAAGGGGCACCAAGAGGCTGTCCCAGCCAAACCTCAAAGAATCTTATTTCCTCATAGTGGTTTTCAGCTCCGAAGTCATTATTGCAGATGAGTAGTGTGAACTGTGCCTAGGAGCACCCTGAAAGGAATGACCCTGAGGAGGCCATCAATACATCTCTGTAACATTTCTGTTGGGTGTTCACGGGGTTAACTTTATTAAGTAATCCATTGTACTTGCACCTTTATGGTATGCAAGGCTGGTAGATACATACAGATGATTTGTTCACAAAAGGGGAAAATAAATAATCTTGACAATGATTAATATTTGTTACTATTTCATTACAACAGCAGCCGTAAGTTCTAGTCAAAGTCAAGATCTCACTGTGCAGTGCAAAAATGTTTCTATGCCATCAGCAGTCTCTGCACAACAGAGTCTCAAGTGTAAATTAACAGACACAGGAAAAGAATGTTTTTATTTCTATTTTATAAAGAGACTAACCAGTTTTACCAGCACTCGGTCACAGGATAGAACCAAGTTCCTTTAATGTCATTTTCACCACCTTAATTATAAACGTTGCTTTTCTCCCTAAGGCAGATGACTCTGAGGTGAACATTACATATTGTGAATACCCAGCATCTTTGGCAAAGGTCTGAAGATGTATTCTGGAACAGTGAATAGACATGGGTCTCAGAAGAGCTCTTAACCTCTGTACTTTTTATTGTGAGAGGAAGACTCCTGATGCACCTGGGACCATATCTAATACTCTGCTAGTTACCCAGACAAACTCTGGCTGTGGTGGCTTTGCAGTAGAATTACTATTTCTTCCTTGTTATCTGTAAATCAATCGAACACTGTGATTTTCTTGGATTCTCCCCAGGCCCTTCAGTATGCTAACACCTTTAGTTCTGTGTACTTATCTTGAAGTTTCCTGTTAGGAAGAATCATAATGGATATAAAACACATTTTGCTTATTACAAGAATTCCACAGACGAGGTATTTATGGTTAAGCTAATTTTACATGAGATTTGTCCAGTTTTCAAGATTGGCCATTAAGTCCACAAAGAGAAATGCAAGAATCCTACAATAAGCCACTGTGGTAGAAAGTTAACTTTTGTACAGGTTTAGGATATGAGTACTTTTCTATTTGGTGAGGTTAGCAAATTAATTCAGCATGTATTTTTACTAGATGCAGAATTCTGCCATGGATATGAGATAATTTTCATAACAGGTAAGATGTGAATGATGTCCATGAATGGGAATGTGACCAGCAGCATCATCTCACATACCCAAGCTCTTCTCGGAGTCTGTAGTGTAAGTAGACTTGCTGACTTGCTGACTCCAGAGCTATACATCTACAGCCATCAGATGATTAAGAGTAACAAAAAATATTGAATTTGGAATAGTCAAAACCTTTCGACAAGCATAGATTTTTCACCCAGAAACCTGCAAAAAAAATTTTTTTACATGCCCTTCATACAAGAAACTCCACTCTGTAGAGAAGTTTATATTGTGAAAAGAGAACTTGGTTGCAGTTTTAAGATGACACAAATATTATCTGGTAATAAAGACATCTGCAAATAAAGAATGGCAGTAACTCTCCTCATTTTCTTCTTGCCTGATGACTATAGCTTTTTCAATGGTTGTAAGTTCAGGGGTTTCAGCTCTGCGTTGTGACTTTACGTCTTGTTGTGTCCTGCCTGGTGCTGCCATGTCTGTACCAGCCTTAGCTGCAGAGTCCTTGGTTTTGATCTTGCAAGGAAGAAGTAATAAAAGAGATGCTTAGGACCTTTGGGTAGAGTCTTTGCCACTTGCATATATTTCCAAGAGATGTGGATATGTGTGGGTATTGGTGAATGGCATTTGGCCAGAAGGTAAGAGATCTGCATAGATCTCTTGTATTTTGGCACGAGCTATAGGTTGCATACGGTTTTTCAATACTTTGCATAAGTATACGAAGCACATCTTGGCAAAGATTCTCAGTCACTGGTTCCCAGGCTATGTACAACTTGAAGATGTTAAGCAGGAGGCCAGCAAAGACCTTGAAGAACTGTTGCCTACATCAAGTTATGTTATAAATCAGTAATATCGTCCATGGGCCAAGGAAGATGGGGACTGCTGTTCTAGAAGTTTTGCTGCAAGGGTCATGCATTTGGGTAAATAAAGAAGCCTACCACCATTACAACATTTATTCCACTTATCTGTTTGGATGCCGATTCTATCTTTGTCTAAAATGTTTAGGGCCAAATCTTGAACTAGTGTAGCTTTGTTGCAGTCTGCAGAGTTGTTCTGATCTTTTTCAGCTGAGAATCTGAACTTACAGGTGTCTCTTTCCCAGTCCTCCAAAGAAGCATCAGTTTTCACTGGTTTAATTGAAAGTTTGTTACAAATCCCTTTAGGTCCATAATAATTGAATCAGATACTTGAAGTTATCATACAAGATGCTTGATTGTCACCTTCTATCAGGAATTCTGAGATAGCTGGAGGAAAGTAGCAAGTTCTGTGCTGAGGCCAAGATGTTCTTAGCTGTACAAACTTTACCAAACTGCCTTCTGAATACTGCTGATATTTCCCAAGCAAAGTTGCCCTATTATAGAGTTGAGATTGAATATTAGGTCTTGCTCTTGTGTGAACAACTCTGATGTGTGACGTACTATCATATAAACAAGTGCTTCTTCACTTCTTCACTCTTTATGCTGTCTACCCATAAAAACTATGTCTTACCAGAATTAAATCTCCCAAAATTTGTATTGTATGTGCTTACTGTTACTTGGAAGACTGACACAGCTGTGCAGTAGGCTTAAAAGTTATCTCTGACAATCTCATCCCAACCAACTTATTTTCTGGTTATGCAGTGGTGCTAGAGAAGCTCTGTACGACCTCATGGTACTTCATTAACCATATCTTCTCATGTTAGTCTATGGATAGTCATTCATAAACAAGAGGGCTGTTCTGAAGCAGTGTCTCATACATTATTATGTTGGTCCACAACAATAG